GAGCGGCGGCGCGTTTTTTTTTTTTTTTTTTTTTTTTTTTTAAAATAGTATAAAGTACAAATTACGTCTTGGGGCGCAGAAAGTAATCCCCTTCCGGCTGGGACTGTGTACATTTATGTATTTGGATCCAGATTGAGCCTCAAGGTCAGTTGTCGTTACTAGACTCACCGCCGCTCGTCTCTTGGGCACGAAGAAACCGAGCAGTGTGCTGCGCCATAGCAGCTTCACGACATGTCATAATGAAAAACCTCTGTTGGTTCAGGTTCAGGCGGTTTCTCAGCAACTCGCATTCGCTCTTAGCAGAGCGACATGAAGCGAGCCGCATTGAGAAGAGCAAAGACAGTCTTGCGTGCCGTACAGGCCACATTGTGAACTGACAATCTACCTGCCTTTCAGCACGAGGAAACAACACACTCATTGATCGGTGTTCAGTACTCTCAGATCCGAACAAATCGCTGGTAATGGCCGCTCTTTGAGAGGTATAATTCAGTAGGAGAATGTAGAGTTCCTGTTGAGTTAGGCTTTACGTGTGCCCCCTCGCCAGCCAGCTTGCGCGACAACTCTTGCCGGCAGGCCTGCATGTGCATGTGCTCCTCTACTGGCTACGTAGGTAGTTAGTTTTGCCGTGCCCCTGTCTGCAATTACTGATGAGCAACTTCCACCGTTTGACAATGGCATACAAAGTCGTGCTTCCTAGACCTGGCAGATTCTGGAACCTCGCAGCCAGAGTCGGACACAACACCAGCTACTGGTGACGTAACCAACTAGACTCAAAACGAAGAAGGAGATGGACTTTGCCCATCATCGCTGTCAAACCTGCTGTCTCCTTCTTTGTGCAATCTCACCCAATCGTGCGGTTGCCTCCTGGCGCTCATTTAGGCGGCTACTAACCAAGACCTTGGCCGCGGCCATGCCTCTCATCAGTCGCTATTTTGCATCAATTGAGGAATGACAGACTACAAATACCAAGAGCAAAAGCGATGCCGCCTTCTCATCAGTATGGTGGCAGATGCTGGATACCGTCGTCTTGGAACGGGGCTGACAATGGTCGCCGGCTCTCAAATATAGACTCTTTGCAACACCACCGCATGCTTCATATCATTGTAACTGTTGGCAGGAACAAATTCAGGCTACAAGTTATTTCAAGCAAAGTCCTGTCACTTCACCCCTGTTTCCAAGGGAAATGCATATTCGCCCACCGATCGGCGATCCAGCGCCTCATATACAGACTATTTGAGTTTGGCTTGCATTTCTCGGGGTAGAGGCTGTGGTACAAAGTTACTGCGCAGCTCATGTTAGAAGCTTTGGCGTCAATATTGCTGGGATGAATGGGTTCTGTTCTTGCAGATTTTTTCCGTCCCAGTGATAGCACAGTACGTTCACATGGTTAGATTAGCCATGGTCAACAAGAAGGTAACACGGGTGATTGTCGTAGCCAAATCGAGCGCCGTAAACATTCCATTAATTTTGCTTGGGATCGAAATTACGATTCCGGGTGCGCTGGGATATGAGATCCAGCATAAAGAGGCATCTTTTGTGGTAGCCGTCGCCGGGCACTAAATGCGTTTTTGTTTGGACTCAACTAGTATTCTTGTAGGAGCTATTGAGACTTGTCACATGTCAGGTGCTCTGCTCTCACGATTGCCGGTATCCGTCTCCATCATGATAGACGTGGAGAAGGAAGCAAATGGGATGGCATGGGTGCGGGGGTCTCAACCTCAAGCCATTACGTCAATGGTGTCAATCTGGTCTGGTAACTTATAACCGCGCGGCACCCACTACCACTACTCGTTGGAAGCTGCGTGGGTTAGGGTTAGGACTCACATCATGACTCTCCATCGTCAGAAACCACCAGCCCAGCTCCTCAAGATGCCAGACGCGCCCGTCTTTTACGATCCAGCCTCTCCCAACGAACAAGCGCCTCCACTTCCCTCTGCTCCCCTCCAACAGCTCTCTCCCCAGGCCGTCTTCCAACCGCCACTATCCCGTCGCGGCACTGGACCCGGTCTGATCCTCCTCCTCCCCGAAAATATAGAAAGGAGCAGGCGTGAAGACAAGCCACTGGACCCCGAACCCGTCCAAAAATGGGCCGAGGAAGGCTTTGCGGTTGTTGGCATAACGGCCTCGTCCACTCCTATCCAGGCAATCACGGACGCAGTTGAGGCTTTGAAGGAACATGACAAGGTCGACACAAAGGATAAAATCGGCATCATAATATATGATGCCCCCCAGAACGCACTCACATCTCACTTGCCCCCGGAAATCGCGTGTATAGCCACATTTACAGAGCACTTCCCATCTCAATCCCATATTCCCACGTACTTTCACACATCCAACACTCCAGAGGGACATACAAAGACCAACCATGTGACAGTATCAACGTATCCCAATACCCAGAAGCACTTCATCCTACCCGGCTCGGCGACTTACAATCCTCCCGCCGCGAATATTGCACACACACGAAATTTGGTGTTTTTGAAGAAACACATAGGAGGCCCGGTGTTTGATATTGAGGCTATTTGGGAGGAGCATACCTACTGGGAGTTTGAGAGGAGGAGCGTGGCCCAGACAATGGCTACCATGGTCGTACGTGCCTTTATCTGCCTTTTTTGTCTTATCCTTTTGTGCAACCAGCAAGGTTACTAAATAGTGTAGGCCGAGCCATACGTCAACCATGTCCCAACGGTAAGGCACCAACCAGATGAACCTTTCAAAGGCGCTAATGTGTATAGATGACGGGCGGAATGGGGCGAGAGGCCCTGACAAACTTTTACAGAGACCATTTTATCTTCTGGTAATTCATCCTCGGGCCTCCCCTGACCCGTAATTAGCAAGCCTGCTCATGGCAACTCAGTAACCCGCCGGATACCGCCCTTCAACCGGTTTCCCGGACCATCGGCGCTGACAGAGTAGTCGATTCGTCTTGGACAAGACCAGTCCCGAGTATTCCTGCACGTAACATGCTAACCAATACAGACGGGTTCATCTTCACGTGCACGCATACATTGCACATCCCGTGGCTGCTGCCCAACATCCCCCCTACCAACGTCGGACTAGCTATCCCCATGCTCGGGGTCGTCAACATCCGCGGCGACAGACTATACCACGAACACATATGGTGGGATCAGGGGACGGTGCTTCGGCAGCTGGGGCTGTTGCCGACTCATTTACCCGGACCGAAGGGCAACGCGTTGAGACTCCCTGTGGCAGGCGCCGAGTGCGCGAGATTGCTGGCTGATGAGACGGATGGGAAGAGTAACGGGATGATTGAGAGGGTGGACTAGCAGTTGTGCATATACTTGCCCGGCAAGTAGGTATCAGTCAATGCTTGGCGTTGGACTAGAAGCATATTCTGGCACAGACTGGCAAACAGAATGTACCGAGGATAAGAAATACACCTTGCGTCTTGAAAGAAATGCACTCGACAAGATGTCCTAAGCTCGCTCCGCGTGCAAATCAGACGAACCTTCAGAGCCCGCCGGCGCACACACCCATGCTGTATAATACCATGAAACCGCAAATCAAACCAGTTGACCATTTGACGTCCATAGTTGCAGGCTACTTGCTCACCTTGCCGTCCCTCCCGCTCCCCCTTCCCTTCCCACTCACCGTCCCCGTCGCATCCCCGACCTGAACCCTCCGCCTATTCACCTCTGGGATCCTGTAGCCCCGATCCCTCTCCGGGCGATTCCTCTCCCAGAAATCACTCACCTCCGTCTCCAACTTCCTCCTCCTCCTCGTGCCCTCCTCCTCACCCCCCTTGTTTCCCCATCTCACCCTCCCACCTAGATCAACCACCTTGATGACCACCGGGCCCCAAATCTCAAAATACACCCGCCGCACCGCATGCCGATACCGCCTGTCTACCCAACGGAAGAGCCGGCGGGCGCTGGTACTAAACGCAATGACCAGACTGGCCAGCACCAGGAATGCGCTCGAGGGAATGGCAATCATGCCAATCGTCTCGAGGGACAGGTTGTTCTCGCCGCCCCATTCCTGCGTGTTCATGCCAAAGAGGCCCGTGAAGAAGGTGAGGGGGAGGAAAATGACGGTAAAGGTGGTAAAGATCATGACGCTCCGGGACTGCGCGCTCGCCAGGTCAGCGTGGAGTCTGCTGAGGCGGACCTCGTCGACCTGCGCCTGGCGCTGCACCATTTGCAGCAGCTTGTCGTAGTCGTCGCGTGTAGAGCGCACGCGCCGAACCATCTCGTCTGCCTGCTGGGCGTACTCGCGCAGGCGCTTGAGCGCGTCGGTGAGAAAGGAGCGCCCGCTGGCGGCCTGCTCGCGCAGCCCGGGCCGGCTGTAGATGGAGTGCATCGACGCGACTACCTTGGACTGCCGCTCAAACAGGTGCAGGAGTGTCTGGAGCTCGTCCTCCATGTCGCGAAGCTCGAGGAGCGCAGAGGTGTTGTCGCGGTTTTCGCGCTCGGCGCGGCGGCCCTCCTCCTTGTGGCGCCTGCGGATGCTGCGGGCGCCGTTTTCGGCGGGCTCGTAGTCGCATGCCTTGTCGCGGAAGCCCTCGGAGCGGAATTCTTTGAGAGACGAGGTGAGACGCTCGGTCTGGCTGGTTAGGCTGCTCGTCTGATGGCGTTGGGGGACAGGTCTGAGGTGGGTGGGCTTACAAGCACGCTGATGGCTTCTTCAAAGATTCGAAACACCTCTAGGTCTGGGTGCGACGACCGGTCGAGAAGGACGCTGACTGCGTGGAGGGCTGCCAGGGCGGCCAGGTCGTGCGCGTTCTCGCACTGCCTCGTGAGGTCGACGTTGACTTCGTTGAAGATGCTGTCGCGTAGGTCGGCCTGTTGGTACAACGGTCCTTCTATGGGATCGCTTTCTCTCTTGGGGAAGAAGGACACGACAGTATCTATGAGAATCAGCGCCCCTCTCCTCGACCTTGACAATGGTGGTGCCTACGCGATTGCATGACCCAGAGCCACAGCTGGTCAACCATCAACACATTCCCATTCAACACTCTGTCCTCGTCGTCGTTCATGTCGCGCCGCAAAAGCCGCTCCCGCCAACTACTGCCTGAGCTCCGCTCGCTTCCACCGCTCTCCGAAATAGCGGCGTTACTCGAGCCCTGTTTGCTCAGCGCGAAACCTTTTGTATCGGGCGCTGGGGTCCGCTCCTTGGTGAGCTTGTACAGCATCTGATCGTCATCACGCGATCTGGTGTCGCGCAGGGACGGATATGCATACTGGTCCAACGTTCGTCGACAGTTTATCGGTGGATCGTGACCGAGATACTCCCAAATAACTTGGAGTTCTAGCGAGTCAGACTTGGCAACCGTCTCCGGGACAGGGTGCGCGCGGCCCTGTGCGAGACGCTGAATGATGGTATCCCGGCGGCGGAGGAGCTTCTTGTAAGAGTCAAAGTGGAGATACGGAAGAAATAAGCAAGTGTAGGTAGAGTCGCCGCTTCGAAGGGGTGGTGAAGGCGACTGGTTCCCGATGGATCGATGTCGAGGAGACACTACCAAGTCAGCCGGCTGTGAGCTTCGGGGCGTCAATGACTTACAGGTTCTAGGAGCAGAAAAGTAACATCCCGGCTTTGCGTAATATGCGTAATGCTGCGCATGCCTTCCCCTCGTATGTCTCGTCATCCAAAAGTCCTGTCCGTACAGCGTGGAATGTTCCTTCTTGTACGACACTTCAAGAGACTGCAGAACACTCTACAAAAGAAAAGGGTCAATACTACGGTGTATACGCTCCTCTGAATGTTTTCCCATTTTTCAGTAACTTACTTTGACCCAAGTCGGGTTATTGAACGGAACATGCACCCATACGAACTTGCGGCTCTTGACATCCGGCTTCATAAACGCCATTGGCGCCTCGTCGGCAACCTCGTCGGCAACCACAGCTTCTGGCAGTCCCGGCGATTCCATTTCCTCGTCATCGCTGGCCAGGACGTCACCGATCGTACTGCGGCTTCGTGGAGAAAACGGCGGAAAGTCTCTGTACTCGAGGCGGGATCCGTCGCTGCCCAAGCTGAACGAGCGGCTCATCGAGCGGCCGCCCATACGGCCTCGGAGTGGCGGCGAGAGACGATCTACCGCAAGGTCTTGCTCCATGTCTGCTCTGACCAGCGGCGAGGGCCTACGAATGGGGCTCGATTTTGGAGAAATTGCTCGTGATGGGGGAGTTGTCGGGCCACGGGGTGTGGTCACCGGTGTCGAATGGGGCACTCGTCCAGCCGAATCCAAAGGTCGAGGAACCGGCGATGCGGGAGATGTTACAAGTCGCGTGCTGGACAGGGCATCTTGTATCCCTAATGGATTCTTGATCGTCATTGAATCCGGGGCGGCCGGCGGCACAGGTGCAGTCTCCCCTTCTTTCTCGATGTGCGACGTCCGTCCACGAAGTCGCAAAATCCTCTCCTCCTCCGGGCTGCCTTCCACCTCATTCAGCCGTTCGCTCAAACACTCATCAGGGCCCTTGTTCAGAAACTCTCTCAGCGGTAGTCTGGTGCTCCAAGCCCTGACAATCGGACACTCGTCACCTTCATGCTGGCCTTGACTCGGCGGCGTGTCGTCAAAGAACCCGTGCACCTCGACATTTACCTTTTGTTCCAGTCCCAACATCCACTGGCCGCTGAACTCTTTCGCGCTCACATTCGCATCCGCGTGGCAGACTTGGTGCGCCAGCTGTTTCAAGAACACCTGCAGGGTATGCACATTGTGTCGGCCAAAGGAAGCAATGTTGGCGTGGTCGCTTTGTAAAGGGAAGATGCGCTCCTGTCGCATGCCCAAAATAGCAGACTTGATGGATGTAAGCGGTGCCGTAAAGTCTACATCTCTCGACTCGGACCCGGCCGTTGCGTTGCCCCCAGAAAGACGGGAGTCGATGGTCTCATAAAATGTCCATACTTGCAGGTCATTTGATACGGCTTTGAAGTCTTCGTCGACGCGCATGAGGACGCTGTTGCCCACACGGAGATGGTCCGTCACCGAGGTAGGAAGAGGCGAGGATAGTTGCAGCAGGGATTGAATGCTGCATGCCAAACTGGGTATGGAAAAGTAGCTCGAGCCTTGATGCGGTGTTCCTATACATGGTTGGTATCTGCATATTTCTGGAACCCATCATGGTGGAATCATTCTAGACGACTTACCAAAAAAAGCCACTCCGTAGCACTGCCTTACAATATTCTCGTATCTCGCATCTCTGCTTGCCTTGACAAGCGCCATCTTCACCACCAGCCCGCCGAGACTATGTCCAATAAACAGGATTGGCCGCTCATCATTCTCCATCTCCCTCAGATGCTGTAAATTCTGCAAAAGCTCATCCGCAAGAGTATGAAGAGTCACTCCCTCCTCCATCTCTGGATGCTCGTACAGCAGTATGCGCGCCTTGTCCGCCTCCCGTCTTATGCCCTGTCTCACCCACGAAGGCGTTGGTCGCTCAGCGTCATCCTTCACTTCCGCGTCTCTCATGGAAAGAGCACCATAGTAGCGGCTCATGAGGCCGTCGCGGTTCCAGCTACGCAGGGGATGGCCGCCCGGGCATGGAACGGTTATGATGTCGACCGTGGTTTTGTCATGAGTGAGATGGCCCTCCGGGTCGATGGTGAAGCGTGGCTGGGGGCTGTCATTGTGAAGAGCGCCGTCTTGTTTGGGATTTGAAGCCAAAGAAGACGAAGAGTTCTCTGACGGAGGCGACGGTGGCCGCGGCGATTGTAGAGGTGCGGCGTCTTGACGGGCGAGGCTTGGTGGACTTTCAGGATTGACGGCGAGTGAGGAAGAGTCGCGTGCCACGGCGGGTGAAGTCGCTGAGAACATTGCCCCTTGTTGTATTATTGTTCCGTCTGGTGCTTCACGTGACCTTGACGCAGTGCCTGTGTTTGGTTCGTTCCAAGTCAGTGGCAGATGTGAAGCCGGAGTTGCTCAAAAGTTCGAATCGTTCCTAGGCAAAAAATAATAAAAGCTCCAAGTTGAGAAATAATAAGTCCGAGACCCTTCACCTTCACATCCTCCGCCTCGAGCGAGTCGAGTCCATCACCTGCTCTCAATCGTCCCATCCCATGCCATGTCATCACGCCCAAAGTCACGACGCTCCAGTGCAACCGCGCAACCGTCCACGACTCGACTGGTGTATGGCCATGCCTTGTTTTACGCATATTCGATCCTCGAGAGTAGCATTTCTTGCGCGCGGCGTCAATGTTCCAGGGTCGGGGCCAGCTCGTGTGAGACATGGGCGCCACCCCGTGATGCTCGTGACCACATCACCGATTACGCCCGCGTGGCCGGGAGCCCGGTGACCTCGGCCTACCACCGGCCTACCACCAGCATGCGAAAAGGACTTTGCAAACCAGTTGACCTGTCTGGTTGGATTATCTTGGCGCTACTCCCACGCCAACGACAAACAATCCGACTTTTGAATCTCGCTTTGCACTCTGCAATATAACTGCCGCGAAACAGCGGGGGTCCATCAAGAGCAAATTAGGCGTCATGGAAAGAACAGCTCATGCACGGGCGGAATGTTTCAGTACGACCTTTGCAAGGCGACACAACGCCCGATTCTGTGGATTGCGTTGACAGAATCCAAGCGTAGTAAACACACAACAGATAGACACACATCCACCACCTTCTCCCTGGTAACCGTGACACAGCCTGCTACCTCTTCTTAATGGTCCCTTCCCGTCAGAGAAGGTTTTTGCTGTCTTTTGTCGGAGAACTTTGGAGTATTCATCAGTGAGCTCGGGTACGGAGATGTCAGGTCGCATAGATATCTCTGCGAGGACCTTGTTCGTGGCTACCGAGGAAGCACGCCGGAACTCGTGTAACGTGTCGTCGAGATCAAAGCCTACCCCTGATTTCACGAACATCCCTTTAACCGCATCTCATAAGCTGAGTAGGAGCGAGACGGCCGCGAGTACCAATACTGTAACCATCTGTTGAGCCGTACATGAACAAAGACATGCACCAACGCTGCTTGTGGATGTTGGTATTGACCCTAACACCAAGAACACCAAAGGCTCGCGTCCCCAACAATGGCAAATGCCAAGATAGATTGAAACATGGTTTGAACACTGCACAGACGCACAGACGATGTTGGCCCAAACCATCACGTGCATGGCATTACAACGGCATTGTTAGCAGGCACTGCCCATATCGTAGATTTATCCGTCTGCACTAGACTCCTTCATTTCAGCAAGCTTCTTTGCAGTACACTCTTCTGTTGCACCACCAGTTTTTGCAACCAGTTGTACATCTCTCTCTTTTTCTCAACATACGCTCCGAGACAGGACTTTTTTTCTGCAAACGATTACTCAGTAAATGACTTGACGACATGGCTAATCTTGACGAGGATGACTGGTTGGAGGAAAGATATGCCGAGTTGATCTGGTGGTCATCAAGCCTCAATCCCGACAAGGGCCCGGCCTCTCTCGACTCTCTCTTGCGGCTTCGCCCGGATGTTAGTGATACTGTGGCGAGTGCTCTTGATGGTCTTGAAGCTGCCCTCTCTGAATTCCTAGAGATAGGAACGAGTCTCTATCAAACCAATCTTGTCGTTATCCATTTTGCTAATTCATCTTATATTAGCGTTTCATCGCCATATATCAAACGAGGTGGTGCCGGATCCGTACCGCGAACAGCGATTTCATATCAAGTTTCAGATTGGTATCCCCCTTTGCCTCCAGGCCACCAATAAACGAGGTGGTCTGAGATTCAGGCACAAACGTGCCGGTGATGACGTAGAAAAAGCTGAAGCCAAGTATCAACGTTCTCCAAAATATTTAGGCGAGTACGAGGCTCTTTACGGCAGCGATCCCCGAATTGGGGAGCACGGAAGGCTCAGACTTTTCCTCACCAAGATTGTTCTATGGACTGGGTATACCAATGACCTAATCCAGCGCCTGGCTCACATGATCCACATATCCATGGATACAATCGGGGTGATCACCCCGATACATTGCTACCAAAAAGCGCCTGGCGTGTTTCGAGCTTAGTTTTATAATCCTCTCAGATTAAATGTATTCAACGTCATCTCATCGAAGCTAATGTAGTAGGACGAAAGAAGCTTATCCACGCTGGAAGCGTCTTCAATCAACAGACTTTGGCCCAAAGAGATCCTGAGCTTCATCAAGAGCAAAAAGCTCCGACGACTCAAAGATAGGAGACAACCAGAACATATCGCCTGCTCTTTTACAGCCGTCACAGGCGCCACTCATCTCAGTCTCGTGAAGTGAAGAGCAGAAGTGGAAATAGTTCTGCGACTGTGCCGGCGACTGTCCAATTCTAATTTCAGCATTATTGGCGCTCTAGAACCTTAGCAATCAACAAAATCAGCTTCTGCAAAGATGTCAGCTCGGGTGAAAACGCTAGACTATCCCAAGTGTCCGGCTAAGAATGGATCTTTCCGATGCCCGTTTTGTCCGGAGGTTCTCTCCGAGAAGTACGAAGAAAATGTAAATGGCGGTACGTTTAAATATAATTTTTGTCATTGCCGGGTTTAGTTGAGCTCAACGACGCTAACGCGAATGGTCCAAGAGCACATGTTGCGCGAGATGTTGACGCTTACGTCTGCGTCCATGAGGACTGCGAGGCCCTGTATGTGTCATGATATCAATGGATGTCACACATGCGAGAATGCCACTCAATAAGGAAATGGGTTCGTACCAGGTGCACCTCAGGCGTTGGTGGTGCCTCGGCCGTTTCCTTTCAAGATCCCACTGCCTGAAATCCCACATTCTCGCTTCACACCTCGATATCGAGCACTCTGCGATTGACGATGTGATGGATGTGGGCAGACGAGATGCAGGAATCCATAGCGTTAGTTGCCCTCTTTGTCGACCGGGACTGGTCACAAGCGACATGGGTGAGGACGAAGATCACGAAAACCCAATCCTCTTCAAGTTTCCCGACCGCAAGCTCGGGCTAGTAAAGCTCGAAGAGGATGAGAACATTACCACTCGAATCCACGAGTTCTCCCTTCATTCAATTCCTTGTATTGATTATAATGATCGGAGAGGTCGTCAAATTCAACCGTCAGGACGCAACCGGAAATCACATTTCAGGGTTCAAAACCAGGACAAGACATGCAATTGTATGACAGCACCGAAATTTTGGAAATTAATAAAAGTATAGACTTAAAGCTTTTCCACCTGCTGTCTTTGGATCTTAATAGAGTTCCCAACGCCCATAAGTTTCTTGCCAAGCTTCAGTCAATATAAGCCTGGTATCAATGACTCTCAACTGTTCGGTTACGAGATTCTGCTAGCTGTAAACGAAATTCGGTCGGAATTTCCGAACTTACTATAAGACTCATAAGCCTAGGAGCCGATATTTGTTAGTCCAGCAGACTTGCTGGAAGAAATCGGGTGTGACAAGGGCTCGTTAGAGGGCTTGAAGCAAAAGGGCTCAATTCAATGATAATCTTGTAGGATGTCAAAGGTCCTTGGTTCCTCCAAGCTAGAAGGCGAGGGGAGACCATCTTATATACATGAAAGGAACGGCCCGTGCCTAGTATGCCCCATAGTTCTCGTGATCTCCTTGTGTAACAAAGGGCTTCTAATCCTTGCTTGACCTAATCCGTGTGACATCGGGGACCACTTGGACAATTTACAGTTCGTTTCGCAGCAAGACACCACCCTTTCTATCGAAGTGTCAGAGTCCACAAGAAGAAAGAGAAAGAGAGAGCCAAGATGTAATACTTATAAGCTTAATATCAGGGCTATTCGGCTAAGAGCCGCTATTGCTGGATCCCTTTTTACTTCTGTAGCCTAGTGGTTAAACCCGATAACTACTCTAACACGAAGGCTCTAAGGGAAGGAATTATCAAGCAATTATAATGCTTATCTACCGACTTTTTATATTTTCGATAATACAAGCCTACTTTAAAGCGAACGTAGTTAAGTTGGATCGCGAAAATGTTCGGCGGAATATTAAGAGTTAATTAGGCGAAGTTATAATTTATTTTCCAAGTACTAGTACTAAACACGGAGATTTCTTAGGTTTTTTTTCATTCTAATAGCAACTTTTACTTACCTTTATGTAATTCTGCATGTATAACCAGAGTCTTCTTACATAGCTAACCTTATTAGCGCTCATTGAAGGGTAATTTCCATGTGTTTTAGTCTATATGAGTAAGAGATTTCCGAGCTGGGATCCGGTTAAGCGGACCCATTGATTTCCAATTCTTCCTCGTATTAGCACAAACACATCGCCTGCGTTCGAGACCGTATATCACAGGCATTACACAATGCAGGTTGCATGTATCAAACCCAGCCTTCAAGGGGTTCAGAAATGAACCGAAAATATGGCAAGCCAAAGCCATGCCACTAAATTTAATACAGAACAATAACTGGCAATGGGATTATTAGCCTAGCGTAATAGTTCCGCACTGACTGCCTGGCGGGTGGTGAGGGTGAACAAGGCTTGCGTTTTTGCGCTGAAATGAAACCTGCGAGTTATGTGCCACAGATGCCGTGCTATTGCGGCTCTAAAGGGTACTATTGGAGACTTTGGAATCTAGTACCTGCCTGAAAGAAGGTAATTAGATCTTCCTATCTAGAATACTACCAAGTCAAGAATAAGAATAGTTACCAATGCGATGATGCTTGTTGTCAATTATCGGTTACTATAAGCATGCTAAAATTTATGGGATTTTGTACTAATATAGAAATACCAGATTTCGATTCCTCGTTGTAGTCCTGAACTTTTAAAGAGAAATAAATGAAAAAAAAGGTACTTTCTAGTAAAATGTTGCCCAATACGTCTGACCAGTTACCAATAGACTTCCCCCCGGATAACCCAGAAATTCAGCTTGGCCAAGTCCG